GAAGAAGAGAGAAAAGAGTAATAAAAAATAATAGGCCGATTAAACACATATGTAAGTTTTTAAAAAATACATAACTTTTAAAACAAATCTCATTTTTTGTAGAAAAATAATGTATGTCTATGTCTAACAATCTAAATAAATATATTTTGCAACTACTATACATGCATTGTTAAAGTAAATCCTTAACATATAGTGAGTAGGTGATCTAGATATCTATTTTTAAATTTCTGTTTGCGTTGAACTCTACCTTACTCTACCATAGTTATATATAATATATAGTTACATATATAAGGTTTATAGTTATATATTACTATAAGGTATATAGTTATATATAACTTTATAATCCTATATATATAACTATAACGTATATAGTTATATATAACTATGAGGTATATAGTTATATATAACTTTATAATTCTATATATATAACTATAACGTATGTAGTTATATATAACTATAAAAAATACATATATAGTTATATAGTATATAGTTATATATAACTATAAGGTATATAGTTATTTATATAACTATTTTACATTTTCTATATTATACAGTGTTTCCAATTGATGTCGAACACAAGCAATTTATTTTCGTTGATTCTAGCTCTCTTTTTCTAAACACCATTGGAAACTTTTAATTGATTTTAAGTTTCGTGGTTTTTACTTTCAAAGCAACGTTTTTAATTTTTTTTTTTAATTTCAAGTAATTTAAGAGCACTTCTTCAAGTTCTTCAAAAAACCAACTTGAAATGCTCAAATGAATTTGATTTTACATCAAACCCTTCACCCTAAAATGTTCTTCTCCTACTTTTCACATCTTCAAGTTATTGTTGAGAACTGCAAATTAGCAATTAACTGAACTTAAAGTGCAATCAACAAAGCTAAACCCAACAATTTCCGCTTTTTGCCTGCCAAACTATAAACTTTTGCATATGTTTGCGAAACAATTTTCATGTCAAAAACTTTAGTCGATTTGCAGAAGCGCACGTTTTAGCGTTTAATAGGCAATTGCGGAAATCTTTATCAATCACTGTCTGTCTGTTTGTCCATAGGCTGTCAGTACAAACGTTGGCGAATTTGGCCAACGAACAGAGAATTAGAGATGACGAACAGAATGAACATAACACTACCATCATGGCAACATTTACTGGAGATTTATAAGTGAACCCATACACGCTTTGCGGATTCACTATAAAGACATTGTACTACGTCATATGCCATGTTTTATGGGCACTATTGACGCTTAAAATTTTTGAAATGTTGACAAATTCTCAAAATAGAATTTATGAGTATTCGTAACTGAAAAATGACTATGTTTACTTCGAATGTAAACTGGTATTTGTTGGACAAGACTTCAACGTCTATTAGAGACATCAAAAGAAATTATAAATAAATTAACATCACATTTATTGAACACAATATTTCAAAATGCTTTCTTTTAAAATTAATTAATGACGTCGTAGAAAAAGTTTTTCACCCTCTTGAAACTTAGAAATAATCTCTATTCATCATCTGGGTTTTGGGTTTCTATCTCGCAAGCCATCTTTAATTAGTTTATTAATTAAATAAATTAGATACCAGAAATTCGTTTAGATCTTTTCAACCATAATTCTTAAATGTTGCGAAGTTAAAACACCTGAAGTAAAATTCAAATAAAATTCAAGAAGAAACAATGCAGATATATATACGTATATAAAAAATGTATATATATATAAACAAGCCTAAGAGGAAAAATACTAACATAAAAGTAAGAGTAAGTAAAAATATGTTCACGCCAAGAACACAAAAGCTACAGAAAACCTCAAGCGAAACTCAAGCCACAAAAACTCAAGATAAAAGTAAGCAGCAGGCGCTGTTGATGGTTGATACCGCACGGAGTGTAGCAGACGTTACCGCTGCCTAGTAAGACGCTCAAATTGTTATGTCTTCATTACACAATATTTTTGAATGTATCTGTAGGCTGCAGGATGCTGTTTGACGTGGAAGGGCTTTTGTTTCGCATACCATTCTGCAATGAGTTTACTTGACGGCAACCATATGTAGTGCATAAATACACATGGGAAACCACTTACCCTTACACCCATCAACATTCATATGCGAATTACTTAGCAGGTAACTTCGTAATGTACTGCAAATTATGTCGATAATATAGTCTTTAAATTTTATATATTCACTTTATACTCCTTGCATATTGTACTCGTAAGGATACTGGGTAATTGTCACCTCATACCCTCTTTCTGAATTATGAAGTAATATTTCTATTGTTCATTGCATTCGTTTATGATGTATATAATATATATTTTTACGATGCCACATCAAATTTGTCATAAATATGTATTTTAAATATATGTGTATTTTACTTTATTAGATAGCAACATATGAAAAATATTCTATAAAGGATATGGTATATATATAGAATTATAAAAATTTTATAAAAATATAAGTATTATACAAATTTAATCATTACATTTAAAATAGATATAAATTATCTATTAATTTATTTTTACTATATACTATTACTATATAATTACTATATACATATATTCTTTAACTAAAATATATAAAAATATTATATCTCGAATAACAACAGGTTTACTAAAAAAGAAAAGTGAAATATTAGAAAATTAGTACCTATACAGCAAAATGTTACTCAGATAGACGGTTGGAGACTGCTTTAGGTAAAAATATTTCCCAACAATATGTGAAACTTTTAAAAGATACAAATTATAACCCGTCGTCTTGTAGAAGGTTATAATCCTTGACAAAATTATAATACTTCCACTTGAGAGGGTTTATAATACTTCACGAAATTATAACCTTTTCTATACAACACTAGTGACCCATCCTAGATCATCAATATTCTATTGTTTTTCTCTAATCCCTGCCTTATAAGTAGTGACTTAATGAGGGTTTATAATCCTTTACGAAATTATAACCCTTTCTATACAGTACTAGTGACCCATCCAATCTCATCAGTATTCTATATTATGTTTTCCCCTAATTCCTGCCTTATAAGTAGTGACTTAATGAAGGTGCTTCGTACCTTGTATGCGTTAAAATAAAAACACATAATATATAATACATATATACTTTATTTTATGTTTATACATACATTGTATTAGTTATGTACGATCATGTTAGCTTTTATTTTAATGACATATCCTTTTTTATCAACTTGTTTAAAATAAACTAATATTTTCCTTATAAACAAATGAAATGTTTTGTATATTCGCGTAGAAGAAAATATTTTTGTTTAAGTTTTAATTTCACATTTATATTTTCAATTTTTCAAGATATGCAGTTAAGCCATAAAACTGGTAAGAAATTATATTTTTATACATGTCTGTATATGTGTAAATATCAAGGGGTCCTTCAAGAAGTTAAAGCCTTTTAACATTTTGAATTATAACCTGAAGATTTACAATATATGTAATGTATTATTATGAAAATTAATTCCATATCAAGTTATCACTACAAATCTTATTAAGTGTCAAGTTATATGGTAGGTATGAGCAAATAGGCTAGTACAAGTTAAAGTCCATTTTGAAATTTTATTTATTTTTTTCTTTATAATATTTTTTTAATTCTGTCAGTAACTAAGTTGGAATTTCCTATCTTAAATACAATCAAACTTCCATAACTCAAACTCCAATTTTGTAAAGAAAAGGTTCGACTTATGGAGACTTCGAGTTACAGAATTTTTTTTATTTTTTTCTTTATTTTTGAAAGAAACTAGAAAGAAACTAGAATTACATTTAAAGATATTTATTTATTTGCAATCAAATAAAGAACAGAAGTTATGCTGAAGTAAAATATTCAGAAATTAGGGTTTGAGACTTTAATTTTTTTTTTATTTTCAATAAAAAGAGATTCCACTTTATTCATACTCTTATAGTGATCATCAGTTGAACAATCATTCGTTTGCAAATATAATTTCAGTATATTGAATGAGTCTTCTACTTCATTCTTGGAAGGGTGATGAACAATTACATCCACCGAACCCTCATCATTACCTTGAGTTGAGCTTAGAACTGCATCCAGCAATTTAAAGCTATAGTGCTCAATAACATCGTCATCTGCATGAAAGCTTCATATACAAATTTCATTGTAAAGCTCAATATAATCGTTAAGAGTAGCATTGGAATTTATTTTATTTACTTTAAACCACTTTGTCACCGACTGGCATTTACAGAAAAATAAAATTTAGTTTGGAAAAAGGGACTTCCCCTAACACCAATTATGAATTCATACTAAATACAAAAATTCAACTTATAGAATGCATTTTCCCATATACCTATCGGCACGCAACAAAATTTTTGTTAGAGTTATAGAGAAATTGAGTTATAGAAGTTCGGGTTGTGGAAGCAGAATTGTATGTAATTTGCTCTTTAAAACCTTGGTGCACTATTTTTGGTTCGAGTTATAGAAGTTCGAGTTATGGAAGTTTGACTGTATTTCATTTGATAGCTGAGTCTCTATAAATAAGAAAGAACCGGTGTAAGTCAAGGTTTTTTTAATCATTTACCACATGTGCATACTCATACAGTACTCGTATGGTTATTGTGTTTTATAAAATGAAATAAAAATGCATGTCATATTAATTTACTTTAAAAATTTTAAATTAATTTACCTGTAAATTCAATAAAAGTTTTCATATAAATATGTCAAAGTTTCATAATCACTTTGGAAAAATTTTTGGTTTGGTATATTCAACAATGGAAATTCCTACTTTTCGTGCCTACAGATTTTCAATCAACTGTAAGTTTTTATGCATCTACTCTTTAATTAACTTGTCCTCTACTATATTTAATTGTATGTCCAGCATAGCGCCATAATCGCTCATTCGTATTCCAACTGTTTGACTATTACGAACATTCCAAATGGTTTGTGCCAAATCGATTGTTCCAAATAGTGCGAATGATCCAAATATCCTACAATTCATTCAAAGATTTAAAATTCTATACTGTGCGGTTGCTTAATAATTTTAAAATTAAATTAATTATAATTATTATATAGTTTTTAGAACTAGTTTAAGGGATTATCACGCTATTAGAGCAATTGGTTATTTTTGGGACTTTTAGTTGTTCTGATATTGTTATAATTTACGAATAAACTAATAAATATTTGCAATTAAATAGTTCCAATCCATATGTAGGTATTCTGTAGTATATGATATAGTATATATATCAGATCGTATATATATATATTACATATATACATTCATTTCAAATTTTTATATACATTCATTTATTGATCAATTATAATAATGTTATGTTGAAATAAAAATAATGTGTTTTTTTACAATTTAATAAATAATTTGTTAATATTTGAGAAATGAAACCAGATTTAATATTTAATATACATATAATTGCTATATTTACTTAATATAATAGTTTATTTTATTATTGATTGTTCAATTAAATTTTATTTTTAATTCATTCAGTAAATTGATCCATATTTTTGTTGTCTCTTTTCTGCTTCCCTTGTCGATACCTGGCGTAAAAATTTACTCTGTAGTCTGCTATCCAGCATTCTTACATTTTTATGTTTTATACTATACACCATACGCTTAATATATATTAATCAAAATATTAATAAAGTTCTTTAAATTTTCTTAACTTTTTCAAACAGTTTTATTCAAATATATTTTTAAGTGTATATTTAAAAAAAACTTATCATTTTTACTTCATCATTTTAAGAAAAACATTATTAAAACAAGGAGTTGGATATGAAAAACAGAAAAATGGAGTTGAAACTTCTTGCAGAAAACAGGTATCAGGTGATTAAAGAAATAGGAAGCGGGTCTTTTGGAACAGTGTACATAGGTCGAGAACTGTGCAGCAAGAAAAAGGTAGCAATTAAGATTGAACAACCCGAAAATCAACTCTTGGTAAATGAAATAAAAATCTATGAAGCTTTGAAGAACATTGATGGCTTTCCGAAACTTAACTGCTATGGAGATGATGCCAAACAGAAGTTTTTAATTATGGATATGTTAGGGCCGTCCTTAGACGATCTTTTTCGACTTTGTAAGCATAAGTTTACTATGAAAACAATTTTATTGATTATGGATCAAATGTTAGAACGTTTGGAATGTATTCATTCTAAAAGAATTTTACACCGCGATCTTAAGCCGGCAAATTTTTTGATAGGATTAGATAACAAAAGTCATTTGCTTTACTTGATTGATTTTGGTTTAGCGAAATTCTACAAGGAATCTAACAGAAAGTACCCATTCAGAAAAAATTTTGTCGGTAACGTTCGTTATGCCTCATTAAATGCTGTAAGAAAAGTTGAGCAATCCAGACGTGATGACTTGGAAGCGGTTGCATATATGATTTTATATTTCTACTATGGCAAACTTCCATGGCAAGGTCTGAAAGCAGCGACTGAAAACGAAAAACTTGAAAAAGTAGCTGAGCTTAAGTTAAAAACTCCAATTCATCAATTATGTAAAGGTCTACCACCGGAATTTGCTGCATACTTAACATATTGTCGAAAGTTAAGATATGATGAAACTCCTGATTACAAATACTTGAGGAGAATGTTTCATAAGTTAATGAAGAACTTGTGTTATAAATATGATTACATGTATGACTGGGTTATTTTAGAGCAAAAACAGTCCCAGCATAAATTTACTTATGAAGCTATTAGAAATGGCAAAGCTCCTAGAAGGGTGGATAACAAGGATATTTTAAAACTCCTAAATGCTAAAATTGTAAGTTTTTTTTTACTAAATTTATTTATTTTATAAAATTTATTGAAAATATTAACAAAAATTACTCGAAGGACGATAATTATATACCAAAAAATTTAGTCAAAGATGAAAAAACTATAGACAAGAAGATTGAAAATAAGACTGAAAAGAAGACTGAAAAGAAGACCGAAAAGAAGACTGAAAAGAAGACTGAAAAGAAGATTGAAAAGAAAGCCGAAAAGAAAACGGAAAAGAAAACGGAAAAGAAAACTGAAAAGAAAATCGAAAAGAAGATTGAAAAGAAATTGAAGAAGGATATCGAAAAAATTGACAAAATAAAAGAAAAAATAGTTCCCATAATGTAAAAAAATTCCTGAATCTGTTTTTACTGTAACTGAGTTAAAAATTTTATTTTGCACATTTATTTTTATTTTTAATTCAATAAAATTATTTAAATTTTGACTCCAATACGATAAACTACCGTTACTCAAAAACCACAATTTTAATAGTAAGAATTAAAAAAAAAAAAACTGCCATCACTGCCGGGTAAAGACCTAACATTTGCATGCTTTGAGATCTCATTCCTCATTCCTTTTTGTGCAAAGTTTTATTAGAAAAAGTTACGAATTTTGTGAAGTGATAGAGCAACCTACAGTGTTCTGTAAGAATTTTTAATGATTCTTAAATTATTTTTGCATAAGTTGCAAACAATCCTTAAATTGTTTAGATCGAATGTGCGTAAAAGCGATTTCCATTATGATAGTTCTGGTAGATTATCCTAGTATAGCTTTTATTGCTGCTCCTCTTCTTTCGAAATAGGTAAAAAGAAATGATCTGTTTTCAAGCAATAGAATGGATCTAACTCTACAAGAACCGAGTCTGTCCCTTTCCAAGCAAGTTCGTCTGTGACTTCCTCACCAGAAATTTCAGAATGAAACGGAACCTATACGATCCATATTTAATTATTTTGGCCAAAATATTCAGTTTTTCGAACGACTCCGTCACCAATTTCGCTGCTACTTGATGGAAATTGGCTACCATCAGTTCTGACAGTAACTTTTAAAGTTAAAGCATACAAAACTGACTATTGTATAAATTTCTGTTTAAAAAATAGTTATGTTTTAACCCAACGTTTCTGAGTATTTCAACCCCGGCCTATAAACACCAGTTCTGAGCGTATACCCTCAATGGAGAAATTTTATACGCCAGTCTTTATATCATGTTGTGTGTTTCAATCTCTATTTATTGCCAAAATACTAAATGTCAATGAGTTGTATAAACGAATATGATCTTTAATCAAAAAACCAATAGTTTCTCAGAAAAGCTTAATTTTAATTGCCAGTAAATATCAAAATTTTTGTAAACTTTTTTTTTATTTTCCTATATCAATATCATATTATCTTTCAATCCTTCTGTTCATGCACCAGTCTCCTATTATTTAGATCTGAACTACCTACTGCTTTTTTCAACAGAAATATATACTAAATTCTCCAGTTTAAAGAAATGCAGAGGTGTTGAAAAAAGCACCGGCAGAGGTGGTGTTTATGCACCGGTTTCCTATTCTTTGGATCTGAACTACCTACTGCTTTTTTCAACAATAATATATAAATTCTCCAGTTTAAAGAGATACAGAGGTTGAAAAAAGCTATAGGTAGTTAGACAATTGTCATGTGGGCCCCTTTTACTATGCCTATGTGTTGACTCATATCAACTTATATTATGACTCAACTCATGTGTTGACAATTTTCCATAAAAACTTTTTAAAATCAAAACAAAAGATTTAGTTTTTAAATGATATATTCAAAGAAACATTATCTTATATTAACCATAATAACCCTATTTTTTCATTTATCATTCCTTCTATAACAACATGTATGTTTATAGCAAATTTTTTTCGAATTGTATTGCCTAAATAAAAAAATCTGGAACTAAAACCGTTTATTCGAAAATTCATAAAGTTGCTAATTAAACTTTTCTCCACATATAAAACTCCATAAATGTATATAATTTTTCCTATAATTATTTCTTCAATTGCAGAGAATTATAAAAGCTAATATCGAAGCCATAAACGAAGTAAATAATTTCAAATTATGTTATTACATTAATAAAGCTCTGGACTCAGTGAAGAATTCGCTTTAAAAGCTATTTCAGTACAAAAGCTTACCAAATAATTTCCCACATTTCCAGGTACGCGAATTTCGGAAATTTCGAATAGACAACTTTCTGAAGACTTCATCCATGACCTAACTCGTTTGCTCATTTTCAGTGTACACTCAACTTTATTGTTGAAAAGTTCCTAAAACGGACAAACTAAAGTCGGTCGGTGAAAATAAAGCAAGTTGGCGCGCAATACTTTTTGTTTGTGTGAACAGCTGTTGTTGTTGTTCTCGTTTATGTTATTTGTTCTTGTTTTGGTTGTAATGCGTAGCACATATATAAAGGAAAATCTTCACGTCTAATAAATGATATCCTTTTTTTAAAGAAAATTGTTTACTTTGTGTTATTGTGTTAAAAATGGTGTATGTTCGTGCAGTAGGTGACAGATGTTTTGATTTCCGTTCTTAATATTGTCGCAAGTCGCAACTTCATTCGTAAATCAGTGCCTGAAGCTATTTGGGTGCAAGAGTTTTGATAGGGACTTAATCCAATTAGTGATATCAAATGCTTTGAAAATAGAACAATAGAAGAATTATTTTGGAAACTTTAGTAAAATTGATTTAACTGACTTTAAAAGTAAAATGAAAGCTACCATATATATATCAGAGAAACAAAATTCCAAATTCTATGAATTTACCTAATTCAATGCCTTGAAATGTATTTGTATTTGTGTGCATAGTTTTAAATATCCTTGAATGTTCTGTTTTTATTATCTGAATCGTATGAAATAAAATGGTAACAGAAATGATAACATAACTGTTATTAATTTTAAACATGTAATATTTTCTCACTTTACTGGAGTATGTGAGTTTGGTTTATATTAGGTTGCCTTGGATGGACCTACGTGTCCTTAGCAATAGTTGAGCTTAATAAATTTATAGAGAATATAAAAAGAAATTGGTTACTAAACAGCGGTTGGGAAACTTGTTAAAAACATTATATTAAAATCAAGTACAGTTTTCTTTAAAATGCAAAGGAATCATAAGTTTTTCAAGATCTTAATATGTATTTAGTTTTTGATAGAAACTCAAGGTATCGAATTCTAGTTATATTCATACATAATTGCGAACTAGTGTTCTTTATGATATAAGAATTTTTTTGATAAAATTGATTATCATATGTTTTAGATCATTTTTCTTTACTTCTTTTTAATGTATATATTATCCTATATCTTAGTTTCCACTTTTACGGATTTTTTAATGGATTTGTTTACAAATGCTTTAAACATTCCAATGTTCATATATCAAATTTCCAGATTATGTTATCGTTTTAAATTTCAGAATGCATAGTTTTTCAATTTATTTAAGAAAAATGCATTTTCTGGCCATTATAACAAAAGTACAGTTTATATTTTGATTCATAACTTCCACTTTTTACAAAATAAATCATAGACACTAAACTTCTAAAAAATTGACAAGAAAAATATCATATAATATTACTTCACTTTCAATATGATACCATTAGGAATACTATTTAGAATAAATTAATAACTGACACGAAATAATACTAAAATTATTGTTTTCAGTAAGCAAGAACGTCAGATCTACAAGGGTAGTGCATCATTTGTATGAACATCATAAGGATACGTATTTAAATTACGTCGGGACCACCAGTTATGAAAGTACACAATTGAAATGAATATTTCCCTTTTTTATTTAAAATCTATATCTATATATCTTTATTATATAAAATATATTTTTACTATTTTGTAAAATATTCATAACTAAACTGATGAAACATTGTCTCGATAAGCCCCAATCGCTAAGTGAAATCAGTCTTTTTTGTTATAGTTGTGGTAGGTGGAGAGTATACTGTCAAACTTAAATTCACTAAAACCACCTCTTAGGAATGGATACACAAAAGTTTATAAGCATCAAACTCGAGCGATCGACGAATGAAACCCCATTCCATAATGAACGCCAGAAAGTAGAGCAGATAGGCTTAGAATTTAACAAGCTTAAGGGGGAAAGTTTTTATAAGTGTAGATGATAAAATTAAGATCGAGCTGCCATTTTCAGTATTTTTTAAATAGTTTTCAAATAAAATTTTTTGGGCTTTCACCTAACTCGTTTAGTGCAAAAATTGCCTTTCCAACTCGATCATAAGTCCTTGTAAATATTTATGCGCTATAGATAAAGATAAGTTTTCTCCAATTCGATGATTAAAATAGAAACTCATATATATCGTATATATTAACCCTATTGTTTATTATCAAACTTACTTACTTATATACAGTACTTACTTAATTCAGCAAGTAATGTATAAGAGTATATCTTACAGATACAAAATTCATATATATACATATATAAATCGCTTTTTTATCAGCGTTAAACACTTATCTATATCTGTTATGTATAGATATCTGTTATATAAATATGTGACACATAAAGTAATATCTATTATGAAAGGTATTACCTTACATATGTAAGGAGAAACTTATGATGAGGCTCACCGGTTATGAGACTTAAATTATCTGTTATTGAAGTTATTATAACGGAGTAATTAAATGTGCCACATACACATAAGTAAACTTAAATGTTTAAGTAGATTTATATTTTGAAAGATATAACAATGCATAAATTAAATACCTTACATACAAATATGTATGGAAAATTCTTGGAAAAGACGATTGGAGGCAAGTTTTATACAGAATCTTTGCCATATATGATAAAAATACACTAAAATGTATTAGTAGTCAGGTTTTTCAAATATTAATATAATAAATGGCACTATTTTAATCACAACTACTGATTTTTATTTTTATCAATCTTTGGAAAAATGGTTTCTTAGAAAGAAATTTCAATCAAACACGGACATAATATTTGCAATTAATGTATTTTGAGTAAATTATTCTTTGGAAGAAATGATATCATTTTAAATTCTTTACAGCAAATTCGTATAATTGAAAGCGGATTTTGTCAAAAATTAATTTGAAATAAATAAAAATTAAACTTCTTTCATTTATCACTTACTTATGAAACTTATCTGATTCACCGTTCATTAGAATTTGTGTTAAAATAAATAAATTTTAAAATTGTCCTGGAAGCTTATGCTATTTCAACTAAGTTCATTAATATATCACTGTCTTATCAAATAGCGATCAAATAGCATGACAATTATTTGCACTGGACTTGGTGTGGTTTCACAAATTTATATTATATACTTTAAATATCTTAGCAAGAACTGAAGTTTGGTAACACTAATGAATGCTACATTTATAGTATATATATATATATATAATATAAAAATAAATGATATATATATATATATATATATCATT